AGACAAGATATTTCATTAAAATGAACCTCATTCTCCATTCTGAAAGTTCTGAAAATCAAGTTTTTTAGTTCTTTTGTATAAATAATGAGTTTTATGTTTCTCTCTGGTCTTTGATAAGTTTGATTATATCCTCTCTAAACCACTTGGGAAAACATGATTTGCGCACTGTACAGAAGGGCGGATGAAATCACCTGGAAATCGGGAATTTTCCAGATCCGCCAGTGCATATACCGAATCCAAATTATATGTAAATAATGTTTAACCACAATAAATTTTTCTATTTTAATTGCGAGTTTTATTCTTTAAAAACATAAGAAATTAAGCAGTTACACAGATGGGGGAGGTATTTGTTGTGCGTCCTTTGACATTTAATAAAATACATATAAAGTGATACTGCATCTTTACACAGGTATAAAACAGAGTAAAGAACTCAGTCCAGACTTCATGACAGAAATTTAAAAACCACCAGTCGACACTACATAAAAATATTGATTAAACTATAGTTAGCTTTGATTTATAATGAACAAATTTGTTGATGGTATAAAAAAAAAAAAACTATTTCCAGCGATAGATTGGAAAATTTTGAATTCACAATCGCCAACCGGATAATCCAAAATATACTAACATTATACGCTTAAAGCAGTTAAAGAGTTGTAGTTTAAGTTGGCAACCAACGTTCCTTTTCCCGCGCAACGAATTTCGTACGCCTATATGCCTACGCTAGTTGGCCGGTTTCGTTTAACCTGTGTTTTGGTCGATCAGCTGATTGACGTTAATTTAAAATTTTGGTTCAAAAAGTTAAAAAGTGTTTTTCGCGTTTAGTGTTTGTGTTTTTTTACTTGTTTTGATTTGTTAGGTATGATATTATAGACCTTTGTGCTGTTTTTTGTATAGTGGCTGAAGTTTGGACATTTTAGGTTAAGTTTTTTGTGTCAAAAAACGTTTCATATGGACTCCACGGAAGACATTACGAATAAAATTCATAATTACGCAAGAGTGAGTTGTCGATTTATTCTGTGCAATTATTGTATATCATTATATTTTGTAGCCCTCTTCAACCCGGTGCAATGTGACTGTTGTTGACAACATCGTGGCACAGAAAATGATTGCCAATGCGTATTCATTTTTCAAGAAGGAAAATTTTAATTTAAGATGCTCTACAGAGGTTGTTACTTCAATATAAAGTACGCAATGTTATTCGAAGTGTATGTTCCAGTATAGATAATATTGTCTGTTGGAAATAAATTGTGTTATTATTAAAAGTAATTTTACATTATTTTCAAATCTCTTTATATTTCAAATAAAGCGCCTTTGGCACTACCTTTTATAGCGGTCTATTTGGTGACTTTTCTGTCAGCTAATCTATCGGTGGAAATACTATAACATCAGATCATCAAAAATCAAGAAAGCGAAGTGTAGCAGTGTTATTATATATATCTTACATTTGACGTCAAGTTCAATATATTCACAATCGATACTTAATTTCAATTTTTGTATAGTCGACGACATTATTACGAAAAAAGTTTAAATTTTCAGCTTTATAATGAATCCAGTTTCTCGTTATATTCAACATCAAGTAAAAGTCCTTGTATTAAGAGTTGGATACAACTGTCTATTACATTCTATAGACCATCTGACAAAGCCACCTGTCTGAATATCATACTCTAATATAAATTCTTTTTAACTCGTAATTGTGTAAGTCTGTAAAGTTACAAAATAAATCATAATACAACTACATTATATATTATCGTTATAACATCATTCATAACAACATAGACAACTCTGAATTGTTAGAGATGTTAAACTTTAACGTCCCTAGGTTAGGTATACGTTGTGTTAAAACTTTTTATTGTTCAAGTGCACGAACTAACCAGCATAAAAGTTCACCTATGTTATTGATGTGTACATTATATAATGAGTTACAAATATTTGCAGATATCTTTCTAAATAATAAAAAAAATTCTATTCTGATATTTCAACAGCACTTAAAATGCGTGTATTACTGTAAGTTAGATACTTATTTAGTATATTTATTTATTGCATTGTATTCCTTTAATTTTTTAATTAGGCATAATATTTTTATTAATTTCTTGTTTATTATCTTAAAGTGTGTCCTAAATGGTACCCTTCTTGGACATTCTGTATTTTGTTCTTGGGTTAAATATATATTATTATTATTAAGACCCACCACTGACCCGGAAATGACCGGCATTCAGGCAAGACTTCTATCATTACGGGTACTAAGACCAAGTAATGATATGCATTGATTAGATTAACAGAACAACTTTCGAGATTCTAGAATTACAGCATACAAATTAGTCTGCTATTATTCTCTAATCTCACCCCATCCCCAAAAGTCCAGCGTAACTACCGACCATTTATCCGCGCATCACATGAAAAGTGACCTACACTACTCTGACCTACTGGTGCTAATCTAATCTGACTGACATGATCAGACTGTTCAAGAAACTTACGAACAATATGACATGTTCCTAACAAAACAGCTTTTTGAGTTTTGACAATTATTGAATCATTCAAATGCAAAGACTTTAAATTCTCAACTAAGCTATTTGGAACTACACCTACATTAGAGATAACTAGGGGTAGAATTGAAATTTTTTTAAGATTCAACATGGATTTCATTTCTATCGATAATTGTAGATGTTTTGAAATCTTGGTGTCGTATGTTTGAATAATGTTGTTTGTGTTAGGAATAGCAATGTCAATGAGAATGGCTTCGTTCGTGTGTTTTTTGATAAGTATGATGTCTGGTCTGTTAGCTGTAATGTTTAAGTCTGTAAGTATTGTGCGATCCCAGTATAATTTGTATTTGTTTTTTTCAAGGAATGGAGACGGAATGTAAGTGTAATAGGGTGTCGTATCTTCGATTAAGTTCATAAGTGTTGCTAATTCTTTGTGAATGATTTTGGCTGCGTTGTCGTGTCTAGCTTTGTAATCAGTTTGTGCTAGGATGCTGCAAGAAGAGATTATGTGCTGGATCGTTTCAGGTTTTGCTTTGCATAGGCGACAGCAGTCGTTTTTTATGTTCGGATCTTTGATGATGTATTTTCTATAATTCTTGGTATTGATTACTTGGTCTTGAATAGCAAACACAAATCCTTCTGTTTCGGCATACAAACTTGATTTTTTTAACCAAATCAATGACATCTTCTTATTGACATGATTTTCTTCTAAGTCTTTGTAGAATTTTCCATGTAGTTGTTTTTGTTTTAGCCCATTTATTATTTTATCTATTGTGTGGGGGGTGTGGATTTCTTCGGTGTTTATTATTAATATTATTATTATTATTACATCAATTATTTTTTTTACAAAAATAATGTTTTATTAAACAGATAATACTTATTTCTGTTATCCGTGAGAGAGAAATGCTATATTATTAGCAAGATCTTACTAGCTTACAATGGCATTTCGCTCACTTATGATTTACAAATTTACCTTAGAGAAGTAGCTTTTACGTAAAAGTCAGAATAAGACGGATCTAAAGTGAGTTCAGTTAATCTTAAGTAGTATAATATGTACCAAGTTTCATAAACGCCTCTTGAGGCGTGAGTTTATTTAATCATGAGCGAAGCGAAGCTAGTGTCTAAAAAACGAGTATTGCTGCTTTTGCTACCCAAATTAATTTCCGAAGGAGGGCCTATGAAAAGGTCTTCAGTTTCAGTAAAGTTTGCAGCCATTTGTTAACACCTATTAAATAATGCATTTTATTTGTGCGATGTCCGATACCAATTTGAAATTTACGTTGGCTAAACAAGATTTTAGATAAGGGGGTGGAAAAAATCGTTTAATCATATTAGTAGAATCTATGGTCATATTACATTACAGTCACTTGTTAATAATGTTAAATTTTTGTCTCATAAAACGGTAGCATAAACTACCTCAAGACCCACTACTGTAAGATAAAAATCATTAATATTAATAAATATAACCATTATGCTTAAGGACAATATTTGTAGTAACAATATGAAAGCAATACTAATTTACGATATAGTTCTATTACATGCATTTACAGTAGACAAGATAAATAGTCAACATATTTACCTTGTTACAACCTTTGATTAAAGTCGTTGTCTAGCTGTAGGTACACATTATTAACTACAGCAATGTAAGCAAACTAATTAGACTGGGATTTACGTGAGTGTCCGCAACCTATAAAAGGAGTATCGGCATGTCAGGAGGAAAACGGAAAAATATTTGAACAATACCTATCTCCGAGATGTGTTAAAATAGCTGAAAAAATTACACTTGTAAGAGAAAACAACAGAAAAAGCGACAGTTACAAACGATATACTTTATCGTGTGTTAAATACGCCAACTTCCGCTCACTCCAATCTTTTGCAATTTTCCATTTTTCTTTACACTGTCACTTTATAACAGTCACGGAGTCTAATGCACGCCAACGCTATTAACACAGTTAGCTACCGCGAACCTCCTCAATCTGCATAATCCATGACCAAGAATCGATACTTCCAAGTTCCAGGTATGTTAAGCCATCAATCGAGTTTCGGCAATCCCAGATTCAGTAATTTTCCGGGGATTGAGCCGAATTGTAAAACGTAGCGTGCCGAAACATGCATTTCATTTTTTCTTTCGATAAAATATTTTGTGAAAATTATATCTCACGTTCCATATAACTCACTCCGAAACAAATACGCTACAGCAAAAATATTACAAGGGGAGTTCATCGTGGAAATGTATTATTCAACGAATCGTGTTCTTACTCTTCCAGAGAACTTTGTGTGGAAGTTACGGCGACGTTTTCGACTACAAGCATGAAATACATTCCGAGGAGTTCGGAACTTTGCGACAGACATATCTGAGAAACTTGCCAAATTCTTGATGAAAATTGAAATCTCGCATGGAGAGGAAAGAATGCACGTGTAGGAGTATTATAACGGTTTTTGTTACTTTTGGAGTGTCAAAATGACTTCAAACTAAATTACTAACGTCGTTGCTTTAGGTATGTAAATTCTACTTACCGAGGAAGGATCCGCATCTGATGGAATGAAGCTTTTGACCACCGCCCAAATAAGGATAAACACCATCGGCAGGCCTGCAAAAACACATTACAAAGAGAATAAATTTCTATTAACATAATCCATTAAAGCTTCGGTTATTTCCATTTAATGAAACTGAATAACATCGAAAACAGTTTCATTTTACACATAACTAAAAAAGTTTAATTAAAGCACACCACGAAAATAAACTTACCCCAGCCGATGCCTACATAAACCCTCAACTTGAAATTCTCTCTGGTCAGGGTTTCAACAACCAAAATATAAAGATACAGTCCTAAAAATAAAATTAATTACAATTTCCACTCCGTGCTGAGCGTTTGACGGTGTACAACATGATCCTTCAAGCATAAAATTATGCAATGCTTTTAACGGATCTTGTTCAAACAATTATTACTAATGGTAGACAGTTTAGTTAAACTTCATTTAATGCTTGTAGTTGAAATTATTTAAAGCAATAAACATCAACAAATAAATGTTTTAGTAGTTCTACGTGTTCAGTTTCCAAATTTATATTTGGAAACTCTTCCCATTATTGTTCTAAAAAAATACACACAGTTATGCTACTAAAAGACTAAGTTCAACAACAGAAAATTAACTATTATTGAAAATCATATGGGTTTCGAAATGCGATATTAGTTGTTTTTCAGACATGAAAAAATCGAACTTTGTAAAATCCATTTTTCGGGTGAATTATGTATCTTGAGTCAATAATAAAAAAACAACTTCACTTTTAAGTTCAAAACACGCAGTCCGGAATTTTTACTTTAACTGCCACATTTTTTATGCTCGAACTGTAATCTTATAAACAATCAAATTATCCTGAATTGTAGAGTAAAAATTCTCGTTATTGCGTTCTTTCTCAGAATTCACATTAACTTGAAACCAGCTCCCCCAGCAGCACATTAAAACTTACCCTCAACGAACATCCAAAAGAACGTCGAAATGTGAAAATAATGTAACAACGTGATGATAAATATACAAGCTATGGAAGCTCCGTCTTTTGAGCTGAGCTGAAAATTATTTATTACGAGAGGTATGAAGAGGAAATTTTAGCTTACCACGGTCAAGGTTACGATCCACATACAGTACATTAGCATGTACGACCACATCAGATTCATGTGAATTCTATTTCGAAGGCATCGCAGCTCTCTGAAATTAATCGTATAAATTAGGGAGAAAGAGCACTTGAATTATGATGGACTTTAATTGGAGATTTATTATCATTTGGCATGATTTTGGAGCAGTGATGTTGGTTCATTGCCAATGTAATTGGGTCTTTGGGTATTTGGAGTGGTTGTATTTGTGGAGGTTCTGTTTTAACGCGTTTACTAAGTTTAGAGTTATCTTTAGCGGGATTTTCAGAGAGGAATGAGAATTTGGCAGGAGTTTGTGGACTTCCGCAGCGTGTGCAAGCTTTTGTAATCAATAGTACTTAAGTATTTGGGATGCAAAAAAGTTCAGAAATGCTACCGCAACATTTTCCAATTAAAACTAACCCCTAAAATAATTTTATGTGTCTTTTTCTTAAATAACTTCAAAACTGTCTGAAAATTTGAACAAAGAAGAAGAAAACTTTTTATTTGCTCTATCCTTTGTAGTAATTAGGATGTCACAACCGATTTAAAATATGCGCAGGAATTTCTTCTCGAACATCGGACACAAGGATCGAATTCGCAAACTCGCTGGCCAATCTTAGGAAAATTGCGTCGACTTACTTGAAATATGTGAAAATCCCCAGCGCTATCGACAGCGTAATTAAACTTAAAACATATCCAACGAAATAAATCGTGGCTTGAGTTTCCACGTCCGGAATAAGAATAATTTCCGTGCACTTGGAGTAGTCCGCCTTCGTCCAAGTAGCGTTGGCGAGACACATCCTTGTGGCATTTTCTGTAAAAAAAAACAAAAACGATAATTACTCCTCTCATTTCCTACATAAATTTGCTTTCCATTACTGTAATTGTCGCAGCGTTTGATTAAACCCGTCGTAATTTAAGTCAATATTGGAGCGTTGTTTTAATGGTTAATATATTTAATTCGCCTTTAGCCTAGCGCGTATGGCTCCGGTAAACACGGCAGATTAAATCATAATTTATCATTTACTGTTTCAATGTGTTGTTTCGTTTCATTGATCAGCGGGACGTCGAATATGACACATTCGTAATCGAGTTTAATAAACAGAACTCGAGGGTTTGCTAACTGACAATCCGTTTGAGCTCATTGCGAAAAGATAAACCCTATCAAAAATTCATAACGCTCGTGTGGAGGGTAATTGGAAATACGCAGACAAAGGAATTTTATTTACGTTTAATTTTGATTTTAAGGCGATCGCTGCGACTTTGTCTGCGAGGATGAGAAGATTACGTCCATGTAACACTTCTTGATTCTCTTATTCTCTGTATATTTAATAAGCAATAAAAATGGCGGCTGCGAATGCCTGCCAATTTTGCGACACGAATACGCACTTTTATCAGACAAATCTCTTTTTTCTCGGAATTTAAGCGATGAGCTTTGGTAATTTACATACGATTGACATGACCTCTGGGAGGGTCGTGCATAAAAAGGGATGTGATGATAGATTGGAGAAGCGGGAGAGATAACAAAAACTCGTACTGATACCGGAAGCAAGAAACAAAGAGCTTTATCCTAAATGTCATCTTTTTTATTTTCGTGAATTTAATAAATATAAAGAAAAATATGAAAATTAGACCTGTGAACTCAAGCTTTTTTGAAAAGCTCAGATTGCACGAAAACAAGTTAAGTTTCGCTATATTGGTGAAAAACAGCTGAAGATTTGAGATTTACAATAACGTAAATTATCATTTAGAAGCAGAGTATTTAAAAAAACGTAATTGAAAACTCTCTAAATAAGAGTTGACGATGAGATTTATGTTATTTATTTATTTTTATTTCCACTTTCCTTTAATCATTCTTTGCTGGTTGTGCAAAAATGTTTTATCGGAGCTCTATTATGTGCGTTAAATTCGTGCCCCACACAAAAGAGTTTTTATTTAACCATTCAACACTGAAAACACGTTTTGCATTATTTGCTTCGTCACAAAATAATAATTTGCATTTTAACCCTTTTACAAAAATTTTAACCGACTTTAATTCTGATTCATAAGCGAAAAAATAACAAAATCCCGCATATTGCGACGAATCCTATTTTTAAAATGAATTAAAATTGTTTTGATATCCCCAAAATCAATACTTACAGCAAAAACACAGTCCAAAATCTATTGGTGAACACAGACGCGGAAAAATATCGTATCAGGAATAACAGAATTATTAAATCTCGTATTGTACGCACATGTCTAAAATTTTCATGCATGCCTTCCAACTCCATATTATCTGTAGAAGCCACCGAACCACGCCTTCATACTCTCTTTCGCCACTTTTTCACCATTTAATTAATTTTATAAAAGTCTGCCTTCACGCTCTTCACCCTCCCAAGTTTTTTGTGCAAAAAGCGAACATCCTTGTTCTGTTTCGCCATGTTTTCAGTTATTAATCTACAAAGAACATTTCCAAACTTTTTCTGAACAGCTTCACCTAAGGCCATCTTTTTTTTGTTCGGAATGTAATAGGATTCATTAGCCATGTGGCTGACAATTTCCTGTTCGCTTTTGCACCCGGATTACGGAAATCCTGCTTTAAATATGAATGCCGTTTAAAGGGCTGCAGTATGCAATATAATTTATACATTTCCTGTTTCTAGTTGTTTTCACCGAGCTAACGCCGACGGCTTCGTAGCTTTTGATTCAATATTTATTATCCAGGAGGCTTTTACGAAGATAATGTTTGTGACGTTACTGGTGGAGTTGACTATTTTCAATTTAAGAAACTTGTTTAATATGTAGACGAGCAAAATTAGATATCACTAGAAGTTTCGAGCACCAAGAAGTTTTCTTTGCGAGACAGCAGATTTTTTATTACGGACGTGAAAGGCGTTCAATAAATTCATGCAAATTAGATTTCATCTTGAAATTTTATTTCACTGTTTTGTTCTCTTTGCAGTAGTAAGGTGTGGAGAATCATAGATCAGGGAATGTTATCCCATTTTACGACTTTCTTACTCCCGAAGGGACTACTCAAAAATTGGAAGTTTTGTCACAGTTGTAAATATTTTGATGTCCAGAAAAATATGGTGTAAGTTGAAAAATACACCCGAATGAAAGGTTTTATACAAACAGGATTCATTTGTGGGAGTAATGACGACGCCAAATTTCAGAGCTATACATGTTTTAATTAAAATCAGTTGCTGCACAAAGTTACTAGGGAGCTGTTAATTTACGTAACTAGTTTTTCTACTGTGGTTGTCGTTTTTATCCGATTTGAGGTCAATATATCCGACTATATTCAGCCAGTTCAAAAATTGGTCGAATGTTATTTCGACAGAACTTCTCTCGCCCTTAAAGTATAAATAGATATTCTCAATCGATTGTTTAGTCGCGCTTAGCTCATTATGGACTTTAACCACGATTTTATCACTTTCAATTTTGGAAAATTTCTTTCACATGAAGCCACAGCAATGCTTAAAAAAACCTTAGACAAAGCGCTAGACTCGGAACACACTCAGAATTTTAGATGAATTTGAAAAGCTCCAATATAGTCCACTGAACCGCTTCTTGGGAAAAAATGCTTGCTGGAAGTCGCCAAGGGGTCCCTTAGTCGTAAAATTTCCAAAATTATGTTCTCTGCAGAAAATTCATCGTAGATTTTTGTCACATTTGGAACTATTCCAGTAGCGGCTCGTGGTCTTTTTGTTAGGTGAGGCAACATTTCCGTTTCAAAATCAGCAGGTATTAATTAACATGTTGGCAATTACTTTTGTTAAAAAACAGATTGTTTATTCGTTTTTATGAAAACAATGCAAATAACTCTGAGTCAGTAACATATCTCTATATGGGTACACTTCCCGAATAAAAAACATTTAATTGCTTGACACAAACCAACGAGAAGGTGTAAAGACTACAGAATTTGCTTTATTAACATTAAATATTAATTCATATGATCTAGGGCTGATTTAAATATATTAATCAATTAATTAATAAATTTCAGCTCAAATCTGGATGAGAGGTTCTAAATCTTTGACATCCAATTGTTCGTCGTAAGAAAAGCGTGCTTAAATATTTAAACTTTATAAGAAACTTTGGAGATTATAGATTCTTATGTTGCTATCAGCATTGTAAAACTCACATTTTCATTGTCCTACTGTTTTCAATTTCAAGTTAACTTAAAAGTTTTAATACATAACCTTGGCAATGCACATGCAGTCAATACCTTTCCTCGCGTCAAATTAATGCACAACTAACTAAATGCATTCAGCATCCCTGTTCAGCATTGTGCAGTTTCACCGTGAGATTAAAAAATTCGATCTGATTGGCTTAAGGACGGTAGGCGTTGGTGCCTCCGCTGGCGCTTTGATAAAGCACTGATGACTATTGTCTTTCTCAAAAACATATTAGCACCACTGACTAATCATACTGAAGATATCCGCCTATCTGAGGCATGCCTCCGTCTGAAGCTGGCCTACACGACGATGATCAGTGCTTATTCCTGTCGAAAGCGCGTACTTCAAAATATGTTACCAAGACGCGTTTTAATAAATCACAGTGTTCCATAAAAGTTATTTGCTATATCTGTAAAATATATTTGAAGTTAACAGATATTAAAACAAAAACTAATGGTCAATTTTTCCAGGGGAGGCACTGCCTCCCCTGCCTCCCCTGACGAGCCGCCACTGAACTATTCCATGAACATCTTTTTTTGATGACGTTAGCAATGAGATTTATAAACTCCGTTGCAAAGTTGCCGTTGATAGTACCTTTGATGTTCAAGTTTTGCCGTATTTAACGGGGTTGTAGAAGAAAAGTAGAGGAGTTAAGTTGATTACTACAAAAATTTACCATTTTAGACAAGTTTTAAATTTCTTTTTGTCGAAATAAGTCTACACATACTAAGAAAAAAAGGCAAAATGTAGCCCCGCCCACCCGCCCTATCTCAATTGTGATGATTTTTTTTATTCGCCATAAACCAAGCGGACGGAGTTTAACTACAAAATCCTTAGTTCTCTACAATGTTTTTGAATATTGTGTTGTTCAAAGAATTGTATGTATATTAAGAAAAAAATAAAATTAGAACTATACAAGGCCCCACCCATACCCGCCCCGATCTCATTTCTCCATTGCGATGAATTTTTCATTCGTTGTCAGATCGAGGGGTGGGGCTTAAGTGCAAGATGGATATTTGTCTACAAGAATTTACCATCTTAAACATGGTTTAAGTTTCTTGTTCTGAAAAGACAACTACGTATATTAAGAAAAAAGGCAGAGTATAAGTCCCGCCCACCCGCCCTATCTCAATTCTTATGATATTGTTATAATCGTCTAGAGCGGAATTTAAATGCAAAATTATTATTATTCCTGTCTCTACAAGAAATTACCATATAAGACATTTTTTTGAGTATCGTGCTATTCAAAGGATACTATGTATACCAAGAAAAAATTAAAGCCAAAGATTAAGGCCCACGCATAAGTGCCCTGATCTAAATAGTAATGAAGTTTTTATTCGTTGGCAGACCTAGGGGCGGAGCCTAATGGCAATATCCATATTTCCTTACAACAATTTACCATTTTAATTGTGTTTTAAGTTTCTAGAAATAAAAAAAAATCATCACAGTTGAGATGAGGTGGGTGGGCGGAGTTTATATTTTGCCTATTTTTCTTAATATACATATTTTGACTTTTTGTTTTAATATGTGTAGAATTCTTTCCACATCATGAAATTTGAAACATGTTTAAAATGGAAAATTTGTATAAAGAAATATCGATTTTGCAATTAGGCTAAGCTCTGTAATTGCAAAAGCCATGTTTCCTTGCATAAACCAT